TATTTGTAGAAAAGACAGAGGGAAGCCACATCACATCTGTGAGAAAGCGGCCGAAGTCAAGAAGCTAATTCAGAGTACCGATTACATTACAGATCCTACTTTAGATTTTTTTTGAGAATATTGCAGTAAGAGAAGGTAGGGGAAAATTTTATGGATAAAACTTTAACTGCGCAACCAGTAATAAAAATCACAGAAATGCAATCTATGTTGTTATTCATTTAAACATCATCATTTAATAGTAAAAAAAATTATATATAACTTACATAGTTACAAACCTAAAATATATCTGTCATTGTTTGATGCAAAATAAATGTCTATTTTTAAGACCATATAAACTTATTTTTATGATGACATTTAAGTATAATTTCATTTCTCTGGTTCAATAACTGGCTTGTATTTTTGTACTTATTTTAATTTTTTCTTATATATATAGTCTGCATCCATTATATATATATATATATATATATATATATATATGAATTAAGATCAAATATAGATAGGAATGCAAGAGAATGATAGGATAAGGGACAAATAGGAAATCTTTATAAATCTGACATGCTTTGCTTTTATTAACATTTGAGATGTGGCGGTTTATTTTCCATGAGGGTCAGCCAGGTGAAGGTAAGAGGGGGAGCACATTGCTATGGTATTTACTCATTCCCCCACGAGAACGAGATGTGACACAAGGTCGGATTAATGTGGGGACCCGAGCATGTACACTCGGACAGGGACAAAAATTCCCCTCAGCCCCCGCAACCATCAGTTGCACCGGCCTCGGTGCAATGGGAGGGCGCGGCCTCGGGCAGCCGTTCCCCAGGGCTGGGCACCTCTTCAGTATTATTTTCTCAGTTGCCCCGCCATCCTCAGACAGAAAAGCCCCTGAGCGCACTGTCCAAGGACAGAGACGCAACTGAGAGATGATAAATAGTGCGCATACACCCCTCCAAGAGCCAAGAAATCGGCTGTATTTATGTCGGCTGTGGTAGCATCGTAGCTGGTTGGCAATATCTTTTGGTTGATGACTAAAAATTAACTTCCGCATCTTGACTGTACACATGGGTATCATTTGGACACCATGTGTATTTAAAGTAGTTTCTGGTTATTATTTTTAGTTAGGAGGACTTGTGTATATTTATGTTTCATTTGTTTTACTTTTTGTGTATCGTTCTCAAAAAAAAAAAAAAAAAAAAAAAAAATGCTGAGTCTCCGGAAGTTAACGGCATTCGAACGTTGGAGTAGCCGGCAGTAACTTCCAGCCGGGTGCAATACCCTTACCCGTGCTTTCAAATTGATTTCGTGCAGACAATTGTGTTTTTCCAATTTTTGGCGCTGTCAGAACCACCGCCGGGTAATTTTACGTAGTCCTGTGAAGTTTTGTTGAAAAATGTAGGAAATACGATCCCATATATAAACGAACAGACACACACACAATCTGCATTTTATAATAAGTAAGATTTCATGAATATATTTTAATATACATCTCTTCAGACTGAAGTTGTTTTTAAGAGATGAAATCAATTTGGCAAATTATAATAATTAAACATAAAAATGCAGACCAATTATTGAATCAAAGAAACAAACTTATTTTCAAGTGTAGACACAAGAACAGATTTAAAATTTCCTAAAACCATTGACTTTGGGAGATATACACTTGAAGTTTTGATTCTATTTTATATAGTTACTAACATGTGTATATGTATTCACATTTTTATATAAATGGTCATTTATGTGATTGTCTTGCCTATATCACTTTTGGTTTTAATTTATTAATATTACTGATAGTATTATTTTTATGCTTATCTATACACACTTTTTTAAAATTTGTTCTTTATTTCTTGATTTAATTCATTACTTATTTTTTTTATATATAATTTACATTTCTTATTTTATTTACCTTATTTTGTTAATGTTGAATATTATTATTAATTTGAAATTGTGATTATTATATTGCGATGATGGATTTTGCTGTCTGAAAATGACATGACTATTATATATATTACTTAAACACTTAATTCTGATCACCCCACTCCCTCCCTTACCCAGTATATTAAATAGTTCAGCCCTTTAAGAAAAATTTGTCTCTAGGTCAACCAATCAGCTCATCATGAATTCTTCCTTCTTTAAAATTTTTTATTTTTCTTCACTTTTTTTTTCTCTTAAAAAAATAAAAATAATAAAAAAATAAATAAAAAATAAATAAATAAAAAATTTTTTTTTTTCCTTTTATCTGGACAAATTGATTTCATTTCTAAAAAAACCTTCAGCCTGAAAAGATGAATATTTAAACATATTCATGAAATAAATTATAACCAAAATGGATTTTTAATGATTTTCCTAACTTCTTATGTTCTGTTACTTACTCACTTTGGATTACTGTCTTCCTTGGAATTATCCCTACCAATTGGTTTTATATATATATATATATATATATATATATATATATATATATATATAAAAAATATCTCAAATGATGATTAGTAGGGATAATTCGAAAGAGGATATAAATCCAAAGAGAGCTCAATGTACAATCAGAGCAATATAATAATGAATACAGAATCCTTAAAATTACATCAGGCCAGGTTATAAATTTATTTCAGACCAGTTTTCCATTAATAAATGGAGTTCAATTTATTCAAACACAAGGAAAAAAAAAGGAGATAAAAGAGAAAAAGGAAAAAGTTTTAATGTTAAAAAGGGAGAAAGAAAAATAGAGGGAAGAAACACAAAAATTTCAATATACGGTTTAATGAGAAAAGAAATAAGGTATAAAGAGATAAACATAGGGAGGGGATAGGGAGAAAAGGGAGGAGAGAGAAGGCAAGAGGGAATTAAGCATAGCTGACAGGGTGACCCAGAAAAGACTTTTCTTCTGGGACTTGGCAAGTTAAAAAATAATATGAGGGAAGGGAGTGATCATATTCGAAATAGATGTATTGAAATTGTCTAGTCATTTTAAGCAGCGAAATTATATAGAAAAATTTTGTTTTCAATCATTTCACAAAAACCAAGGCAATAATGCTAAGACAAGGGTTTACTCAGATGAAGTGAGGAGAAAGGACAATAAAAACCAAAAGATGGCAATTAGAGTTGAAATTTAAATTTTTGAAGAATGTCAATGACTGGGAAGCAAGAAACCAGAAGAGAGTCCCAGTGGTGAGAAAAGAAATTATTAGAATAGAACTTACAGTTACATCTAGCTATTTCAGCAGTAAAACAATGAGACCTAGTTGCCAATCTAGTAGTACGCTTTAATTCATTCTATTTGAGGTACCAAGGAGGAAATCTCATTAGAACAATTACCATGAAAATGGCTATTTTTAATTTATAGAAAAGGAAAGTTGCATCTCTGCCATGAGAAAGTGACTGAAGTGGAGATGCCAGGTCAGGACCAATAACAATACAGATCCTTCTTTGGATTTTGTTGAGAATCTCTAAATATATAGCTGGAGCACCAGATCAGATACAGCAGCAATATTCAATGCACAGATGAATGGTAAATTTATAAATTTGTAATATGGATTCTGAAGAGAAAAACTGTCTGGCATGACACAGTGAAGCAACCTTCTTAACAGCAGATCTTGCAATTGATTTAATTGCTCCCCTTCATGTCAACAGAAAATGCAAAACCAAAAAGGTATGAGTTGCTCTTCTAGAAGTTAGCATCAGCCATGCTGATGGTGGAGGCCAAAAATGATTCTTATGATGATTAAAGAATAGCAGTTTCATTTTGGAGGCATTAAAATTTAAGTTTTCTTTCCCCCATTAAAAATGTTAACAACACTATAAAATAGCCATAAATAACCACATTTGGATCTACAATTATTTCTACTTAATAGCTGCTAGAATAATTTGAAATGTAACTGTTACTGCCCACCCAATAACCATTTACAGATGAATCACAGTAGATACATACCGAGATTTCTTCTTAGCCAATAAGATTGGCCACATGTCAGTTTATCCCACCATATTCTTATTTTCTTGTCTTGAAGTCAGAATGCTGCGATCACTTGTCTATTTCTTGTGTGCTAATACCATTCATAGTTTGGGAACTTTTTTGCCTCATTACTGTTTTGTTTTGCTTACTTTCATCTTGCAGATATTGTTTGCATAGTATTATTTTTAACCAGTTTTTCTTTTTTCTTATTGTTTATTGCAAACTTTGTCAATTCTATTTGTTAGGCATTTCTACCAATTACTCCACAAAAACTTGTTGGTAGTTGCACCAAGAGTTCAACCAGCCTCTTGATTTCTAGTCACTATCAAAAGTTACCTACACCATTTTAAATTGTTTTATTAGTTTTTTTTTTTATACGGTTCTGTAATCATAGATGTTAAAAAAATTTGTGAATCTTGTAATTCCCAGTGACTAACTCACACCAATCACTCAACCATTTTCTTAACATATAAGATAAATAAACTGACAATCTCCTCTATACTTTAACATAGGTGTTGAATACGGGTCATTTGCTTAGAAAGAGAGATTGACATTCTTTGAAACAATTCCTCCATATTTGCAATTATTAATGAGAACTGCAAAGTCCAGAGATTCATTAAAATGCTCAAAACTGAGGGAAACAAAAAAATGAGCAAACATTAGGAAAGATAAAATTTACAAAACTGTGAAAGAACTTAAAAATGAAACAATTTTCAAATACATTCTTGTATTTTAATATAAATCATTTTTATTAAAGCAAATGGAAAAATGTGATGAAAAAAAAACCAAAAAAAAAAAAAACCATGAAATTAAGATATCTGACCCCACCTCACACTTCTTGTTCAATGTTTACTTGATGACAGAAAGGAAAAAAAAAAAAAAATTTTTTTTTTATCCAAATGAAATAAGCCGTGTTAGAATATAGCAAGGAGACTGACTGAACAACCAGCAAGGTGCAATGCTGGGAACAGATAGTCAAAGAAGGTTTGGAAATGCCAAAGCCATCATCAGGCGGTGCAATGACGATGGTGCCTTCCTTACCATTCTTTTTCAGACAGCCACCAGACTACTTTTTGGCAAATGTGATTTTCATGGCATTATTTGGAGTGATCTTGAAGCCCTGCAGGGCATCTTTTGCAGCACCAGCCTGCATTTCATTTTCAAATTCCACAAATGCAATGTCATGACGTCCTGGCACCAACCTGACTTCTTTAAAACCAGGGAACCTGAAAGAAAATTAAAAGTTTTTAATAAAACAGAAGGCATTTGTTTGATGAAACTAACTACAGCACAAAACCAGACTAATACACAATTCTTTAACACAAATACTATATTTTTCAAGAAGTAACTGATGAATGAGAAGTATCAGATGAAATAGTGCTGTCTTTCCTGACAATGTTATGGTGAATAGTTGGTAGAACAGGAATCCTTTGATGCACCACAGAATCTCTTTCAAAATGGCTAAACAATAAACAAGCTTGAAATGGTGCATTCAAAATTCAAACTATTCCTATTTTATTGAATGTATCATTTTATTGCATCTGTCTGATCTCAGGTTGCAAAGTTGGTTTGATGGAAAAATAAAGACCTTATTCTTCACTTAATATTCACATACCTCCTCTTCTACAGACTACATTTTTTTCTAAATATATTAACCATTCTTATAGGTGGAAACTTCCATATCAGATTGAAAGAATTCTTAATGTATTTCTTCATTCTTTGAAGAATTCTTTAGAAAGAGAATTGATGACTTGCTGCCAAAATAGAGATAATTTATATAGGTTTTTTTCATACCAAGCAAGGTGACAAAGCCACTAAGATAAGTGGTTACTGAGGGTGAGAGAATGAGAAAATGTTATTAAGGAGAGAGAGAGAGAGAGAACAATAAAAGAACAAGAATTAAGACAGAACATAATGACATTGATCTTCAAAAATTTAAATTCAAATTTGACTGGAAAGCAAGATGCCAGAACAGAATTTGACAAATATGTGTAACTGAAAAACTGTTGACATAGTACTTACAGTTGGACCTAGCCATTTTAAATGTAAAATGATGAGACCTTGCTGCCAATCCAATACTGTATTTAAAGTCATAAAATCTAGGTACAATATAGGAAGTTCATCAGAACAATTACCATGGAAAGATTTATAGGAAAGAGCCATGGAAGCTATGTTATGGCAGTGGGAAAGTGATTATTGCCAAGATGCCAGGTCAGAACCAATAACAATGCAGATTGTATTTTATCAAGAATCTCTAAATACATAACAGAAGCACCAGTCCAGATGTAGCAGCAATATTCAAGGCATAGACAAATGGTAGACTGGTAGAGAGAAAAATTGTCTAGCACAGTTCAAAGGGAATATTTGTACAAAATAGATGTCCTATTATTTATTTTCAACTTACCTAAATAAGAAAAATCTGACATTCTTCACTCGTATATCAAGAAAATGAGAAAAAAATTTAAAAGGCAATTAAGAATTGCAAGGAAGGAATAATTCAAATTTCACTATTAAAAAAAAAAAAAAAAAAAAAACTAACTTCAAGTTTTTTACAATTCCTTTTTAAAATTGAGTTTAAAGAAGATTCCTTATTTAGGCAAAAATTTTTAAGTAATTAGATCATAAAAAATAAAATAAAAACGAATACTTACTGGTTGAACAACATGGACAACATCATTTCATTTGTTTCCTCAGGAAGATTGGTTAAGAAAAGAATTTGATTTGGTGGTTGTTCTGGAATGGCATTTGGTGCTGCCATTGCTGCAGGATCTGAAAAGAATACAGAAAACATAGGATAAAAAAAAAAAATGTAAGAATGAAAAGTTCAGGAGTATGGTGCTAAAACCTTCCTAGAACAAATCAAATACTTTTAGAAACTTTATGCAAAAGAGTAATTTTCATAAACTTAACACAAAGCAATCTTATTTTTATGTTTAGAATTTAATTAAAAGGCAAAGAAAATTTTAAATCATGTCTACTCATAATATATGAAGATTTAAAATTGAAATAAGTTACTTTCATCTTAGCAATTTTTTTTCATTTAAGACAATATCTGGTGAGGATTTTAATGTCATCTTGTTAGACTTACACACATTCAGTCAAAACAATTCTCAACACTGGGGATTTATTTGTAAATGAAAGAGAGAGAAATTTTTTTTTTTTTTACTTTGCATGACAGGCTGTTGCATTTGTTGGAGGACTTGTTGCTGCTGTTGTGGCAGGGGCTGAGCTGAAATTGTTGACATTGACTGAACAGAAGAAACCATACCAGCTGCTTGGGCTCTACAAAGATACAGAAAAGTCATGTTTTACAATTCAATAAGTCAAAAGGACCCAATCTCATTACAAAATATTGATAAAACTAAATGGTTTAACACTCCTCATCCCCTCTCCAAATAACATGTACAATAATTTTGGTTCTAAATTGGTCTGAGAGAGTGAAAGGCCTAAAAATGATAATGAAAAATATTGAGAGAAACAAAAAAAAAAAAATTGGTTACCAAATGCTCAACAATTGTTTGCTAAAATCTTTACATTCTTCTTAGCATTCAATCTTATAATATTATTGGAAAAACCCATCAAATGCAGAGGTCATTTTTAATAGATTATTAACTCAAAAAGAGTCTGTACATTGCTGTTGTAGGCAATGCTTCAATTTATCAAAAGTTAATTAATAGCCTATATTTTAAAGTTATGTAAATCAAATGCTTTCATAATTTTCCTCTCTTTATACAATGTCCTCAAGAAACTATAAATACAAAATTTTAGCAAATCAGTTTTTCTCTCTCCACTTCTGCTTATGTCTTTCGGTAACCAAGACCATGAAATGCAATATAAATTCAGCCCCTTCAAAAACTAAGATAAAAGAATAGTCATAAAAAGCAAATACATCTTTAACAGTAAATGTTTTGTAATAGATTAACAAATAAAAATCACAATGAAGCATGAACTTTTGGTAAAAAGCCAAATGTAAAATAAATAACCATTATTATTAAGATTAATAGCAGACAAAGATTCAATCAGAGGAAAATATCTAGCTTGTTTACAAAAATAGTGTCATTTTTGTCTCCAAGTTCACATATTGAAATTTTAGAAAAGGGGGATCCAAACATTAACCATTTTCAAATACTTTTTGAGAGAGAGAGAGAGAGAGAGAGAGAGGATTTATCAAAGCACTAAAATCATTTTTACCTAGCATCTCAATCACCATAAAGTCCAATGATAGTAAATATAACAGCAAGATGATGACCATCCTTATTTTTATCATTTCACCTCAAGGAAGGTAATAAAGTCACTAAGACAATAGGTTACTGAATGTGAGAGAATATTAGGAAACAAAAAAAAGTATTACTTTTGAATATCAAAGTTAAGAAAGCAAGAAGCCAGAAGATTGTTCTATAAGCAAGAAGAAAGAATACAATGATACACACGAATCAATTGTAACAGCTCAACATCATTTACAGTTGTATTATTTCACTTAGAATCAAGGCTGCAAATAAGACCTGTTTAAACTACAAGAAACATTTTTAGTGTAAGCATTAGGTAAAAAAAGATTCATTGTCAGAGAGTGTTAAGAAGTCAGTGTTCACTTAATCATGTGTTGAGAGAGAGTACATCAAGCCTTAAGTCAGGACATTCTTGTTTCCTCCTCACTACTGTTTTCCCTCTTCCATTTAGTCAACAAAAATGTCAGTCTAGGACAAGTGAATTCAAAACCAGGGAATCAAGCCCTTTTGTAAGCAAACAGCAATGCATTGCATAGAGTAACATGCAGGGTGTTTTAGGAGTTTGCAGGAGTAGGCACTCAGTTCCGATTCACAAACGGACTTATTACATTTTAATAATTTGATTTCCTACAATTAAAGGTTTCTTAGTTGAATGATAATCTGCCACACTTACTTAACAGCTGCTTGCTGTGAGGAGCCTTTTTTTCTTTTTCTTGTTTCTGGTTCATCTTCTTTCTTCTTTTTGGGACGTTCTACATAAGTACCTTTCATCTTGGCAATAATATCAGAATCTTTTTTGGAATACTGGATTCTCTGAAAGAAGAGAGAAAGAGAGAGAGAGAAAGAAAAGAAAAAGAAATTGTTTACATTAAGTTTAATATTACAAGTGCCAAAATTCTTTCCTTAAGTATTTTAAAAAGCAACAAAACTACAATCATCTAAATTAATTTTTCTTGATACAAGAACTGAGTCCATGAACTATGTTTAGAAAAATGTCACTTGAAAATTTGATAAACAAATGTAAAAAATATTTTCACATTTTCCAACTTAGGCAATTTAAAAAATGATGCAAGTCACTCAAGTATGCATTAAAAATAATTAAGATTTTACTTACCATTGGCTTATCATAAAATGGAAAACCCTGCATTGATCGTAAAGCATTTGTAGCACTGTTGATGTCTTTAAAAATGACAAAGGCCTGTCCACGGCACTTGAGTGTTTTTAAGGCCACTATATCTAAAATTTGTCCAAATTGAGAAAATATGGCATAAAGAGATTTCTTTAGTTCTGAAAAAGAGAAAAAAAAAAAGTATAAATGGATAAATAAAGGGGGAATATAAATAAGTAAATGTTAATTCTTATACTCTCCCTCCCACCTTATCTGCAGATATGAAATTTACAGGTTAGAAAGTAAATTGCATAATCATTTTTTTTTTTTAAATTCATTATCAAGCATTTTAAAATTAAATCAGAATATAAACATTTTAAAAATTTTTAACTGGTTTCAAAATGCCCAGCCATCATTTAATAATACAGATGATAAACAATCGCAGACACAACCCAAGCAAACAAGTTTGTGGACTCGGTGTAAGAACTATCAGCTATTGGAAATTAAGTCATGCAAATTGAAGCTTTCTTACTTTGGTAGATTTAGTCAGACCATGCAATGGCATTTAGCAGAAAATAAAAGAGAGAAACTTTTGGTACAAAGTTAAAGCCCCCAAATCTAAATATTTAAAAAATTATCAAACACAAAACACCTGAAGGTAGAAACATCAAATTTATCAATAAAAGTAGCATAAATAATACATTAAACAAGTTATCATGGTTTTCCACAGATACCTCTTTATTATCTGTAAATTGCTACTATTTTCTGGAAAAGATAATGGAGCAGTTTTTCTTTGCCTTCTATATGGTTTGGATTCAGGAGACCCATCAGACTGGATGCTACACAAGGGCATTAAGACAAAATTTAACATAACAGATTAGGTCAAATCTTGAACACTGTTCATATTTTCTGTGCTGATAAACATTAAAGAGGCGACCAGCACATTATTGAAAAAACAATTATTTGAATCCCATACAACCCATTTAAGAGTTTGTAGTTCTACTCTATAAAAATGAATTTGTTTATAATACTAGAAGCCCTGCTCAGGAGAAAAGGCTATAAACTTTGATTTCTTGAAGTCCTCCAATTCTCTTGATTCCAGTCCCTTTGAAAAAAATGCAAGAATATATTAAAATTTTGTACCGAGATAAGCTATTTGAAAATCATCATTATTAGTGACTTGTACATGACTACCACTGCCTAACATGGAAAACCGGTTTGAAGATGAGAATGAGTACCAGTTTTGCTTCTCTGTGCTAAAATCTAATATGTTCATCAAAACTGGTTCTAACAAGAGCATCATTGTAAATTTTAGTTTGACAGAAGTTTGGATCAGATAATGTATTGAGAAAAGAGAAAAAAAAAAAAAAGACAAACATGAAGCAACTCTATTAAAACATTAGATTTAAATCAGTTTATTGTATATAAATTTATCACACAATCTTCCTACAAGACTTTGTACAAGTCTAAATTTGGAAAATCTTGACAAATACTCTAAATATTAAGATTTTTTTTCAGAGCGTGACACTATCTTTTTTTTTGCAATAATTAAATTGATCAAACATACCCACCCAAAAAAGGTTAAAAAATTTCTAACCAAGGTAAACTTACCATCTTTCTTTATACTTTCATTTAAATTGTTGATGTAAATTGTATGATTTGGTCGGATATCCATGCTTGTCTGAAAATAAAGAAAATTATATATATATATATATATATATATATATATATATATATATATAGGAAAGGTTATAATTGTTCCAACAAGAGAAAAAAATGTATGTTAAAAAAAAAAAAAAAAAAAGAAACTGCAAACATTTTTGGTTATAATATGGATTTGTCCTTCAGGCAAATTAAAGGAATCAATTTTTAAAGGAATAAAATTTCCTTATGTTCATCACCACTAACACCAACCCTAATGAATGAATATTAAAATATTTCATTGTTCCTTTTCTGTATTTGTAGTGAGCCTTGATCTCATTTTCAACTGTTGACAAAAGTGACTTTCTGCCTAAGTGGTAATAAAGCCATTAGGCTTGGTGTTAGTGGTGGCTATGACAGATACCCACTATCCACACATCAGTCCTGAGACCGTCAAAACTATTTCCATTTCTGTGTATCGTGTGCATGCATGCCCCTGCTTGCACACGAATCAAGCTCTATATATATATATATATATATATATATATATATATATATATATATATATATATACACACACACACACACACACATCTTTGTTCTCCATGGTGTCTGTTTGCATGTGCATACGTATATATATGTGTGTAATCCGGCCAGTGTATCTGGTGTCCATGTGTGTGGAGTTATGTTCTGTTTAGGGCTGGTTTAAATTTGTCAATGAAGGTTTTTTTTCTTGAATTTGTAAGAAAGAGTAGTTGTCTGTTTGGTATATTGGCATAATTTTAAATTTGCCTTGATTGCATTCATAGATGTGTTGTGATACAAGAGTTTTCTTCTGTTGGGTAATTTAATGTTGCTTTTGTGAAGGGCAACTCTATGGTTAAGTGCTTGACTGATGCCTATATGACTTCTTGCATTTTGTGCTTTTAGAGTTGCAGTTTAAATTTTTATTCATTGAAAATGTAGTTGTGGGGTTTTCTAAAGTATAAGAGTTCCCTTCTATAATGATATCATAAACCCCCACATCTGTTACATTTTATTACCCCCTGTATATTGTGTTGGTTAAAATTGTTTCAGATTTTTTTGATTGGCGAAATCTAGACCTACTTAAGAATAACAAAATGAAAAATATACTAAAAACAACCAAATTAATTAAAAGCAAACGCCAATCTGAACATTTTTGTACACCATCAGTTTATTAAACTCCAACACAGTTATTTTGAGTATCACCAAAATGGATGCATTTTTTCAGAAATGAAAAAGAAAATCATTACCTTGTTTTAAAAAATTTGCTAAAATTCTGGGAATCATCCAATTGAAGTGAAATTTTCAGTAATTATTCATTAATGAATACATTGTATAATGAATATTTTATTTTATTAGAGAACGTTGTGTAAATATTTTCATACCTCCTTCCAATATTTCATATTTACTTTTTAAATTGGGGGTATGTTCACAGAATATTTTTACAATTATATAAAGAAAAATCATTAAAGATGTTATTTCACTAAAACTTTATGAAATATCTAGTGTGAACATCATGCTGAAATATCATCTCAAGCCTTACCATAAATAATCCAATGAAACTCAACAAATTGAAGGGGGTGGGTGGCTATAATTTTTTTTTTTTTTTTAAAAACTTGTAATTTTTCATTTGATTTTGAACTTCATCCCGTTGCTGTTTGGGAGTTTTTCTCATTAAATAAAGAGATGTCTGAAGAATTTTAAAAAAAAAAAAAAAAAAAAAAAAAGTTTAATGCCATTTTAGAGCATGAACATTTTTTAAAAGAATTTGAATTATTTTTTCATGCTATTGAATGTCAGATTATTTTTTGTATGGTTAATTAATCCTCACATTTATAAATTGTCTTCAAAACATTTTTCTAGGCCAAATATTAGATTTGTAAGAGACTTTTAAATTTGTTTTTAATTTTATCAGCATACATTTCAAGGAATTAGGGGGTTTTCTTCAGCCTGTTTTTACCGCCAAGAAAAAAAAACTACTTCTCAGGGTTTGTTGTTCACAGAAGATTAAATGTAAATTTCATGAATCACTTGGGTAGCAATCTCGGACATGAAAGCACTAATATATATATATATATATATATATAAAAAGACTGCATGTTTGCAAAAGTTGAATGTATCCATTTTAACCTCTGAAATAGGAATTAATTCCTAGAATTAGTAAAAAAAAAAAAAAAATTTACCTAACTTCAATTTTTTTATGGGCACATAAAACAGCCAAGGCAAAATGATCTGAGCATGACAGTCTGGGCAAAATACAATTAATATCGGTCTGCAAGGAGGCATTTTTTTTTTTAAAGAGTTAAACTTCTGTTATTCCGTTATTTCATCCGCTAAAGTTTTCAACTTGGAAATTTTTGATGACAGACAACTTCCAACCTTATGGTTAACCCACCAAATTGACAAGTATCGTATTTTTAAGATCAGACCATTTTGATATGTGCAGGGAGGCAACTCTGAGTGCAAAAAATTTTAAAAAGCACCACTATGAAATGAATCAACTTTGAAAATGCAGAAAAAGCACTGGCAATGAAATAGTGACATAATAAAGACGTAAAATAAAAACTAATCATCACACATGAGAAAGAATTGTACCTTTCTAAGGAGAAAAGATTAAATTTTGTTTATATACTGATTTAATTAAAATAACCTAGAAAATAAATGAAATATCAGCAACTGAAATGGAAGGTAATTTCACTATTTGTACATGTTTTTGCACTGTAAACTAGGAGAGTTTGTGAAATCTTATGAAAATGCATTTTTTAAAAAATAATTTTTTTTTTCTTAAAGCTTTAATTTCAAGCTAATAGATTGAATTTAATATTCTCAACAATCAAAATTCTTTGATATATCAAACTGAATTTAAATTGATTGACATTTTTCTCTACTTATCAGTTGCCAACTTAATGGGTGAAGGGAAGGGCATATGTATATTTTAGTGTTAACACCGAACTTGTGAACATCTTAGTTGCTAGTGTAAATGGTTGAACGAGGCAGGTATTGTGTATGTGTCTATGCAAGACTATATGGCTTGTGATAAGTGTCTCATTTTAGCTCTAGGTATGTTTCAATGACCGCAGCATCAAAATATAGAAAAAAATTAATTCAGTGATTTTGATTTAGGTTGACTGCCATCTCATATACCTATCTGCTTCAAGACTGCCATTAGGCTTCTGATTGGTCCACGATCAGTGAGCTAATATCCAGGTTAGGAACAGATCTTGTTTCTCATTCACTTACTATGTTAGTTATTTGTTTATATTTTGACTAGTTTATTAGACATGAACCTCTTATTCACAAGACTTCTTTCAGAGCGACTGGGATTTATTTTGTGATTTTCCTCACAATGCACCTTGGAGTGAAATTTTCAAACTTTTTATTGAGAGTAGTAACACTGAGGTCTCTTATTGGGTAAAAAAAAAAAAAAAAAAAAAAAAAAAAAAAAAAAAAAAAAAAAAAATCGGTATTGATGCTTTTGTTCCTTTTTGGAAATACCAGGTTAAATGACAATCTTCTTGGTTCATAGCTGCCTGTTCAGCCACTATAGCCGACAGGAATAATCTTTTATGATTGTACCAATATGATAGTTTTCTGTTCGCAAGATGCCTCTTTTTGTCCACTGACAGAATGAAGTCCCATATAGTCTCTAACAAGTTTAGTTTGCATGATTACTGGCAACACTATAATGTATTAAATAAGAGCAAGTCTTCTATCCCATCTCTTTTCACTCAAGATCAGAAAGATCAAGCAGAAGATCATAACACTGGAGGTGTTATGATCTTCTGCTGATAAAGCAGAATGTTTTGCTTGTAAATTCTCTTCCAATTCTAATCTTGATCTATAAAAGGCAGGATGTATGCATGTGTGTGTGTGTGTGTGTGTGTGTGTGTGTGTGTGTGTGTGTGTGTGTGTGTGTGTGTGTGTGTGTGTGTGTAACGAATACATGGCCACAATTTTCGACGGATTTGCACCAAAATTTACATGCACATGCCCCAAGTTAGCAGGAAGGCCAAGACTAACTTTGCATTTCCCAACTCATCGATAGCGGAAACAATCAATTTTTTTCATGCTTCTACGGCAGTTTTCATGTAGTTTGCGGCCATTTTGTAGTAGCCAGAGTGAGAGCCTATAGCTGGCTGACACGAATGTTAGCTAGCATGCTAGCAGGCAAAAAAAAAAAAAAAAAAAAAATCAATAGCTGCATTTGTCACAAGTGGGAAAAATTTAAATCTGCATGGCACTTTACTCCAATTGGCTCATTAAACACTTAAACTCAACGTTGATTCTGATTCCGCAGAACTGGGTTAGGTGAGAAAAAGTATTTGTTGTTAACATTGTTTTTCATCCGTTTTTTTCCAGTTACGAGTCCATTTTTAAAGCTGATCGTTGTGTGTTCATTTTGTTTAGTTCTTTTTTCGTAACAGATTTAATGTTTAGTATAGAGCTTAGAAAAAATTTGCAGTGTGAGATAGGCAAGAAGTAAGGCATGTAGCAACATCAGCATGGCAAAGGGCACTCCTTTAAAGGCAAGGAAGGAGCAAAAATATTTTAAGTCAAGTGATAACGATTGCTGTATGAGTCGTACGATTTTTGAATCAAGCACGGGCAACACCGGGCCATGCTGCTAGTCTGGAGTATTTTTGCCCAATTTTTTCAATTAGAACTAAGTCTACTCAATGGTATGCATATAATTTCATCAATAGTTTCTGCTATCATCCCTAAAAATGGATTCCCACAATGCATATGATGTTGTTAGTATCCCTGCAATAGTCCTTAAGAAACATGCTCCAGAAATGGTTGCTATTCTCTCTAAACTCTACAATAAACGCCTTGCTGCTTACTGCTTTCTGGAAATAGTCTTTTGTATTTCCTATCTTTATTCATCAACTGTGAATTGATTAAGCATCTCACTTTGCAGGGTCTTTTTTCTGGCAAGCAATATGGCTTCTGTTTCTCTAGATTAAATGCTGATGTGTTAACAGTTATTGCCAAAAGATTCTATCAAGCTTTAGATAA